CTACAGGGTGTTCAGGGTCTCACTACTAGACCGGACTAGTAGTGAGCTGCTTGTTTACAGCCTCCCAAGAGCTGAGATTACAGGTGCATGCTACCACGGACAGTCTCAATGGCCATCTCAGCGTGCCCCAGGCCATCTTTGTGGACACCCCTGGCACATCACATGGTCTCACTGGAAGTGATTTCCCTCGAACCCTTTAATCTGTTGAGCTATCTGCCTGGCTCTAACAGCTACTATTGACCACCTATCATCTTGTGTGATCATTTCTAATGCCTAATCCATTATTTTTATTATCTTTAAAATAAATGCATAAATAAATTAATGGCTTATGACTTGGAATCTCTCCCAACATCCTCAGTTTCTCTGCTTCTCATTTGAGCCGCCCCCAAATCCAGATTTTCTTTCTATTCTCCATCTGCACACCTTCCTACCATTTTGATCTGCTACCTCCAGATCAAGCTTCTAACCCAAGCCGTACAGTAGACTCCTCACTGTCTTCCCTGATCCAATATTCTTCTTTCCATTTTAGCTCATGCACCACAGTCTAGGGTGACCAACTTGTCCCAGGGTGCCAGAATTCTCCCTGTTTTAACACTAAAAATCTCATGTCCTGGGAAATCCCTTCATCCCAGACAAACTGAAATACCTACTGCAGCTGGATGAAAATTTTCCCTCAAATAATGCTTCAATCATATCATTTTTCTAACAAAAATGATCCATGCTTCACATTTCTCATTAAAATAAACTTTAAAATAAGACCCAAATTTGCACCAAAGAAGGCATAAGAAAGAATACTAGGCTGAGGTAAGAAAATAAGCACGCAAGGCCTGGCTGCTGTCACAGCTTTGTGGACACCCCTAGCACATCACATGGTCTCACTGGAAGTGATTTCCCTCATCCGTAAAATTAAGAAGCTGAGATCAGATCTCTCTTGAGCTGAAAGCTCCAAAATTCTCTAATTCTACTCTTCAATATGCTGTATGCACTGGCCAGACCTGCCGACTCTTCCCAATCAAAGCACAACATCTAATTTCTTACCTTTGCTTTTGGTCTTTCCCTTCTCACCCAGAAGTATTTCTCTCTTCTCTGCCTACCTAAACATTTCTAAGAATCATAACTCTCACCTTCCAATGGAAGCTCAGGCCCAACGTATAAGGACTCCATGGGCATCTAGGTTTTCTAGTACACAGCACACAGCATGTCCTACCCCTTGAAATTCAAAAGTCTTTGTCTACATGAAGGTTCTTTAATCTAGCTGGACTAAAATCTCTCTTCACCTTTGCAGTTCTCTTGCAGAATCCTGACCACATAGTAAATAACAGCAAATGTCATTACTGATAACTGATTGGTTGATCCAACCAGGCACCTAATGCAAGATAAAAGCAGAAATATAGGTGAGTCTAGAATTATTCGCACCTTACACCAAATTTTTCTAATGCTTTCATTGTTCAATAATCCACTTATCCAAAGCATTTACAGTACTAAGAATCTCCTATTTCAGGAAACTGGGCAGATATTTCATGGGTATAGAGATGGAAAATAAATGGAGAACAGTGTCTGACAGACTTTCTACCTCTCAGATATCATAAACTCCTGATGTGTCCCTAAACCTTTTTAATAAGATGTAAAAGAACCAGGTGGTGGCAGTTCTACAGTCATCACTTCCCCTAACATGACTCCAAAGTTGACAATGTGTTTGTCTCCAATTCTTCCAAGACAAATCTCTTCCAGACTATGCACTTTGCCCAGACTTGCCCATCCCTGCTTTGATAAGTTGTAATGTTACTATATAGATAGCCTTCAGTGGTGGAACTTGGCCATTGCTTCTCATTAGCCTTAGAAAGTGACCTTTATTAAGAACAAACTCAGGCTGTACTGTGCCTTTGGGGACCCCCGTAACTATGCATCTATGTGCACACACTCCCCTAATTAAGTGGGGCTAGGACTTGAGCAGTGTCACCTATTCCATTGACAAACAGGTTCATGAGCAAGTGAAGGAAGTGAATAAATGGAACAGTTTGCAGAGGGAGAGGTCAATTTGGGTCAAACTGAGCTGAGCTGGGTTGGGCCCAGAATGACTCAGACTCTGCCACACAATGGGTGTCTCCTAGGATGTCCTTCTAGGACAATTAAAACTCCTATAAATAGATGAATTTTCAGGTCTGCTGTATCCTCCCTGGCTTCTGAATTTGCCACTCACTCCTGCTCAAGAAGGTAAGACATACATGGGACAGCAATGGCAATGTGTGCAAAGCTCTTGGGCATACATGTGCAGGGCTGAGAAGATCTGAGATTTGTGGGTGATGGCATTGGTACATTTCTGCTTGTTTTTCTAGCATTTATGTGAAAACAGGATGATTGTGGAAATGGACTATATCTGAGCTTAGAGAAGACAGATGCATTTGCTTCAGTTTGATCTAGGCATCCCAAAACTAGGGGTGAGAACTATTGTGGATAACTGAATCTCCCGTAGTAGGATATTTAACTTTCCTGCAAGTTATATAAAACCCAAGAGTTCAGGGCTCATGAAGCAGAGGGCTCTGTGCCATGGAGAGTCAGAAATGTTCAAATCTCATTGCAATGCATGACCACAAAGGACTCAGCTTATCAGGTAAAATCCATCATTTGCTACTTATCCTTATAAACATCACTTACACTTTCAAAAACCCAGTGTGCTCCTCTGTCAGGGCTTCGTCTTGAATCCTATAAACCCAGTACCTGAAATATTTATGCCTCAAGAGGAAATATCATTGACACATAAATTCCCAAAGATAGCCACCCTCAGCATACCCAATGTGAGCCAAACTATTTAGTTAACATTTATGGTATTATCATCTAGGTAGTCAATTTGGCTCCATAGCCACTTGCTATTTCAATTGGTAACCATTTTCACATTTGCTGTTCCAAGCAAGTCCCAAAATGATCATCCAGGCCAGAAGCACTTGCTAGAACTTGACCTCTCAGAAAGCATTCTGAGTCTGTCAAGAGACCTCTAAACTTCTTCCATGCTTGGGGAAGGCTCATTAGAAAAGTGATGCTGGCCAATGGGACGTGTTCAGAGCCCCCTCCGGTAGCTAGTCTTTGATAGAAAATTATGCACTACTATTCTGGGTTCTGCCCATGATTCTAGGAGCTTCTTGACTATTCTTTTTGGTTCTAATATGAGTGAGTTTCCATCAAGCAAGTTCCAGCCAGAGTAGAAGTTGGGGCACATAAAACAACTACCATAAATCTTTTTTTTTTTTTTTTTTTTTTTTTTTTTTTTTAGGAAATTGCTTCTTTTTCTAGCATGGGACCAATAGTGTGTACCTACCCACCCTCAATCATCCCACCCTTGAATCCCCCTTTGGAGCTTCACTGTGGGTTGAAATGAAGGCATAGTTAAAAGAAAAAAAAAAGGCTCTGTCATTTCTGAAATTCCTTTCTCAAACCAAAACAGTTCACTTTTCTTCTGAAAATTCTTCCTCTTGCACTTGGTCCCAAATATAGTCAAAACCTTGTTTCTTCATTTAGGTTCACCTGTATTTGAAAAAATGCCTCAATTGTTGGATAGCATACTCAATGTGATCAGAGTGTTCCAGAAATATGCCAATGAAAATGGAGACTGCACTTCACTATGCAAGAAGGAGTTGAAGCAGCTGCTGTTGGCTGAATTTGGAGACATCCTCCGGGTAAGATACAAACACTTGGCCCCATAGTCGAGCATAACTGATTCTGACATCTACATCCAGTATTTCATGAAGTTTTATTTTATTTAGTTATGTTCCACCCAATAACAAAAAAGAATCCCAGAAGCCCACTCCCAAAGTACACAGCACACACACATACACACACATACACACACACACACACACACCTCCCTCCTTACATTTGAACTTGAATAAGAGATGATACAAATTCAGACTAATGATGAATAACTTTTCAGAAATGAATCTGAGATTCATATTTTTAATCCCATATTCAGGGCTTACCACACATCCTCTCATGTACTCACTTATTCAGTCATTCATTGGTGATTAACTGAGCACCTAATCAATACCACCACTATATTGTTACTATGGATACAACCATGAATAAAATCAGCTTCCCCAGGATCTCACCATAGGGTAACATGGAAGTAGGTATATTAACAATTATAATATAGCATATGAAGGAGTGGAACAACTTCCTCAAATTATTAACATGCTTATTTCAAGTAAGTGTGCCTACTCCCTATAAGCATGCTCTCAATGGTCCAGCAAAGGATGAGCTTCTGAGAACCAGCTAATTAAAGACTAGATCCAACTTCAAACCATTGTAGATTAATGATTTCTCAATCAAGGAAAGGCTATGTGGGCCTGAATGAATTGAGGCAAAAACATTTGTACATTTCCTAGTATCCATAGAAGAATAGCTGATTTTGCTCTTTGTTTTATCTTCTCACAGAGACCAAATGACCCAGAGACTGTGGAGAACATTCTGAGCCATTTAGACAGAAACAGAAATGGGCGTGTTGACTTTCATGAATATCTTTTGTTGGTCTTCCAATTAGTCCAAGCCTGTCACCATAAGCTAGATAAGAAGTCATGTGGAGATAGAACCTCACAGCAAGAAAAGAGGCATGAAGTAACACAAGACCATAAGTTTCCAGGAGGCACAGGCCAAAAACAACAGCAGTCTCATGTAGGTAAAAGACAGAATTCCCACCACAGTGAGTCTGAAAGACAAACTCATGAGGTGCAACATGATCAAACTGAGAAAGAAGATAGGAACTCTCACTATAGTCAGTCTGAGAGACAACATAGAGACTCCCACTCTGATCAGCCCAAGACACAAGAGCAAGATTCTCACCATAGTCAGTTTGAGAGGCAAGGTAGTAATTTTTTCTATGACCAGTTTGAGAAACAAAATAACAATTCTCAGCATGATCAGTCTGCAAAACAAGATAAAGACTTCCACTATGGTCAGTCTGAGAGTCAAGAGAGAGATTCCCACCACGGTGAGTCTGAGAAACAAGATAGGGATTCCCACCATAGTCAGTCCAAGAGACAAGACTGGGATTCCCACCATGATCTATCTGAGAGACAAGACAGAAGTCATAGCTCTGAGCAGTCTAAAAAGCAACGTCAAGCCTCTGGCTCAGACTACAGACTGAGTCATAAGTCTAACAGTGGCCAGCAAAAAAAGCAAGGAAATATCTTTGTCGTAAATCAGTCTGAGAAACCAGCTCAGGATTCACATTATGGTCATTATACAACACTTGGACAACAGTCAAGCTATCAACAGTCTGGAAGACCCACACAAGACCTTTGCTCCAATCAGAGCAACCAACAAGAATCAGGTATTTATTATGAACAGTCTGGGCTGCTGGATCACGAATCAGGCAATGGTCAGGGAGTCAAGCAAGGACTGGATTCTCAGTATGTCCAGACAGACAGACAAAGCTCTCACTATGGTCAGACAGACAGACAAGGACAAGGTTACCACTATGGCCAGACAGAGAGACAAGGACAGGGTTCCCAGAGTCATCACTATGGTCAGACAGACATACAAGGACAAGGCTTCCACCAAGGCCAGACAGACAAACAAGGACAGGGTTCCCATGATCAGCAGACAAACAGACAAAGCCAGAGTTCACACTATGGTCAGACAGACAGAAAAGGACAGGGCTCCTACTCTGGCCAAATAGACATACAAAGACAGAGTTCTCACCATGCTCAGACAAACAGACAAGGACAAGGTTACCACTATGGTCAGACAGACAGACAAAGTCAGAGTTTCCACTATGACCAGACAGATAGACAAGGACAAGGTTCCAACTCTGGTCAAAGAGACATCCAAAGACAGGGTTCTCAACATGGTCAGACAAACAAACAAGATAAGGATTCTTACCATGGCCAAACAGATGGACAAGGTCATAGTTTCCATTATGGTCAGACAGACAAACAAGAACAGAGTTCCCACCATGGCCAAACAGGCAGACAAGGACAAGGTTACCTCTATGGTCAGACAGAGAGACAAAGCCAGAGTTCTCACTATGGTCAGATAGACAGACAAGAACAGGGTTCCCACTCTGGTCAGATAGACATAAAAAGAAAGGGTTCTCACCATGGTCAGACAGAGAGACAAGGACAGGACTCTCACCAAGGCCAAACAGACAGACAAGAACAGGGTTCCCACCAAGGCCAGACAGGCAGACAAGAACAGGGTTCCCACCATGGGCAAGCAGACAGACAAAACCAGAGTTCTCACTATGGTCAGACAGACAGACAAGGACAGAGCTCCCACTCTGGCCAAATAGACATACAAAGACAGGGTTCTCACCATGCTCAGACAAACAGACAAGGACAAGGTCACCACTATGGTCAGACAGACAGACAAAGTCAGAGTTCCCACTGTGGTCAGACAGACAGACAAGGACAAGGTTCCCACTCTGGTCAGACAGACATCCAAAGACAGGGTTCTCACCATGGTCAGACAGACAGACAAGGACAGGACTCCCACCAAGGCCAGACAGACAGACAAGAACAGGGTTCCCACCATGGGCAGACAGACAGACAAAGCCAGAGTTCTCACTATGGTCAGACAGACAGACAAGGACAGAGCTCCCACTCTGGCCAAATAGAAATACAAAGACAGGGTTCTCACCATGCTCAGACAAACAGACAAGGACAAGGTTACCACTATGGTCAGACAGACAGACAAAGTCAGAGTTCCCACTATGGTCAGACAGACAGACAAGGACAAGGTTCCTACTCTGGTCAAAGAGACATCCAAAGACAGGGTTCTCACCATGGTCAGACAAACAAACAAGATAAGGATTCTTACCATGGTCAAACAGACAGACAAGGTCATGGTTTCCATTATGGTCAGACAGACAAACAAGAACAGAGTTCCCACCATGGCCAAACAGACAGACAAGGACAAGGTCACCATTATGGTCAGACAGACAGACAAAGTCAGAGTTTCCACTATGGCCAGACAGACAGACAAGGACAAGGTTCCCACTCTGGCCAGCTAGACATACAGAGTTCTCACCATGGTCAGACAAACAGACAAGAAAAGGATTCCTACCATGGCCAAACAGACAGACAAGATCATAGTTTCCACTATGGTCAGAACAACAGACAAGAACAGAGTTCCCACCATGGGCAGACAAGCAGACAAGGACAGAGTTTCCAGCACTGGCAGACAGATAGTCACTGTCAGGGTTCTAATCATGGTCAGACCTACTATGGTCAGTCACAGACTGCAGAAACTGAGATGCAAGGACAAAATAGATACTTACAAGGGAATGGAAAAACAAGAAGAGACTCAGATGTTGAGCAATCAGAAAAGTCAAGGAAGCTAAGTGAACAGACTCCAAGACAGGAAGTGAAGCAAAACCAGACACAGGTATTCCAGTCTAGGGAAAAACAGCAGCACAACTATCATGCATGGAAGCCAGAGGAGGATAGTCAATATCACCAACATACACTTTTAGCACAAATCCAACAAGAGAGGCCACTGTATCATAAAGGAAATGACAGGCAATCAGGTAGTAGTGAGCAGAGCCACAGACAAGTCCAAACCAGACAGAGCCAGGACAAGAGACAAACCCACCAGGAAGAAGAGCAAGGTCATCAAAGCTGGGGTGAACACAGTCATGAGGGCCAGGAAAGTGTATGGGAGGCACAAGATAGGCAAACCCATGAAGAAGAACAAAACCATCAAACAAAGGACAAGCAAACCTATGGAGATGAGAAGAACCACCAAAGACAAGACAATCAAACCCAGGAAAAGGATCAACATCATCATCAACAACAGGATAGTCAAACCCATGAGAAGAAAGAGAGGTACCAAAGGTTCCAGGATCAAAGAAGACATCAGAGTGGAGATCATCCTACCAAGGCAGCTAACATTCCTCCCAATCCCTTCTATGGCTATGTACAAGAGCAGAAATCACATCAATATCAGGCTGTGTGAGCACCCAAGCTAAGCAACATGAAGCCAAAGAAGAAACCTAGACATCAAGTTTGTCTCTACTTCTGTTTTGAAATGTTACCAATGTTTTGTCTTTCCTCTGCCACCTATCTACCTTTAAAAATGTTCTTGAGGACTAGTAGTCTCTTTTAGAGCAATTCAGCTCTTTGAGCATCAGTTCTGGGGCTTTCTGGTTAGATGCAATCTAAGTAGTAAATTGTGTGATTGGTTATTTAATTTTGGTCATTTGGGGAATTTAAATCATTTCTGGTTTTCCCTCTGTGCAGGTGAATCATGACTGGGTTACTGAAAGGTAGAGCACATCAACCTATAATTCAAAACTAGGAAAGGTATTCTAAATTTATATTTTAACCAAAAGAAAGGAAATTTGGCGATTAGTGAGCTTTGGATGCTATAGATAAATCAGGGCTGCACAATCTAGATCAGAATGCAACACAGTGAGAAGCTGCTAACGAAGCCAGGAACCAGAGGGCATTTCTGCTCCAAACATCTGCCTTGCTCAGCCTCTCGCCCCTCACCAGAGGGACTCACTATCCATTGACCAATTACCACAAAATTGACTGGATCCATTCTAATTCAATACCTTTCTAGTTTCCAATCACATGAAATAGAAAGTATAGGTCATCTCTTTATAGATCCCCAAGGGCTCAAACTATCAATTCATAGCTTCCTTGTCCTGAAAACCCTTCGCAGGAAAACCAATATGTAGAACAATGGAATTATATTAAAACATCAAATAAATGATTATTGGACAATGACTTTGGTGGTTCTTTTCCTTTACTTGGGATTACGCTATCTTCATCTGTGGGCCAATTTCCTAGAATAAGGCCTTGTTTCATGATTTCTACAATCTATTTGATGAGTTCCTGACAAAAATAAGAATCTTCATGAAACAAATGTTAAACAGTCACAATGGACCTAATCTAAATATAATTTTCAGCTCTTTCCCCTGCCAAAGAGTCATACAATGGTCCCTCAGTTCATAAACAATTTGTTGCATGATTTTAGACAAAATGGCCATGTTTGTGTTTGGGGGAAAAAAGGATCACAGATGTATTTATCACCCCATGTAGAGTTTGCAAACAAAAACAAAATTTTGCCAAATGCTTTTGTTTGTGAAGCAAATTGTTTACAAGCAAAAGTATTGGTGAACCAAGGTGCCATGGCACTTGACCATTACCACTCATTCACACCACATCAAATCGTCATCGTCTTGCCTGCTCTGCATCTTGAATACTGCTTGAATATCTGCTCATTCTGATCTCCTTTGCCTTAATTTCCCTTCTCCTCAAAGACATAAAAACAAAATTCACTCTGTACCGTAGCACACAGACCCACTGCTATCTGACTTAATGACCAATCCAGCACAGCCTCCTGAGAAGCTGTTCATAAAACATTCAACATTCCACCTATGCCAAGGACTTGGGCTTTTCTTAGTTCATCATGGTTTCTCATGAATTCCTATCTTTCAATGTGCCATCCCATCCACCTGGAACACACACACACACACACACACACACACACACACACACACACACTATTTTATGTGTGAAAAAAACTAATTGTCCCCTAGATTCACAAAGAGATGTCACCTGCACCTGTTAGAAATGCTATTTTCAAAAAGATAAGATTTTGAGAATAGCATTTCGCAGAGGTTTTTTGGGGGGGGGAACATGGTAGAAAAAAAAAAAAAAGCACCCTCGTACACTCTTAAAGGAAATGTGTTAGTATAGCCATTTTGAAAAACAACAAGATGTTCCTCAAAAATTAAAACTAGAACTATGGCTTATTTAGAATAACCCCAATCTTTGTCTTTGCCGTCACCTCTGGACATCAATCTCCAGTTTGTTCAGCCTTCTGACTGATTCTCAACAGTGACTTTGCAATGAGTTTTTAGGCCTTTGGCCTTGAAATAGTGTTGCATCCTGGACCCTCTTTTTTGTGGCTTCCATCTTCCTTGGGCAAACAGCTACTGGATCCTCCAGCTCTTCACTGTACAAACAGCCTTTTTGGGTTCTTCCACCTCCAGTTCTATAGATAGCTATCATGGACTCTTCTGCCTCATCTTATATTTTAAAATTCTTCTGGAGAAATTAATTTAGGACCACTCTTGTCTCTCAGGAGATATTCCTGTTCCACATTTATATTTCCCTAAGCCTTTTTCCCAATAAGTTGTCCTCCTGTAAACCTCAAAAAGATAAAAATAAAAATTTCTGGATTTCCAGGAAGATAGTGGAATGGTGAGTAGCAGAGAAAGATCCAACCTGATATTTGGAATCCTGACACTGCAACATGAGGAAGAGGGAAGTGAGGCATGAACCTGAAGTGAAAATCAGAACCCACAGGGAGAGTGAAGAGAGGGACCACAACACAAAAGATGAAGTGGGCATGTGGCTCTTTCTCCCTAAACCCTGAGCCCTGGCTCATGGCATGGGACGCGTGGCTTGAGCCTGCAGAGACCTGGTGACTATTGGCAACTCCAGAGGCCTCCACAGAGAAACGCACCAGTGTCACAGAGCAGTGGATGATGCAGACTGAAGTGACTGGTGAATTAATTAGTCAGGTTCAGACACCCCTCCCTAGAGAGGGTGAATGACCAGTAGCCATTTTGGTCTGTGTTGTCTTTGACTTTTTTTTGTTTGTTTGTTTGGAGGAACAGGGGATTGAACTCAGGCCCTTGCACTTGCCAGGGAAGCACTTATTCCACTGAGCCATCTTCCTGTCCCCTACAGTAGCCATTTTGGAAAAGGCCCAGCAGAAGTCAGAACACAGAGCGGCTGCAGGTTGGCTCCATCTAGTGAGTACAGTTGTCAGGGTGAGGCATGACTGAGTTCAAGTGGACAGGAGGTCAGGAAGCTGAGTTCAAACTGGCAGGAGGCACTGGGAGTGTTATGGATTCACAAGTTCAAATCCCAGCCTTACAGCTAGAAACCAGAAGCTGTCTGAGCTTCAGCAGAACCAAAGACCCAGGTTTGCTGAGATTATCCACCACTGCAATAATTCTATTACTGGCTTGCTGGTATAAATCAACATAGATCTGGGCTGTTCACCCCCTCTATCAACTACATCCTGAAATAGACACTTCCTTTCGCTTTTGTTACTTTCTTTGCTTTTTTTTTTTTCTTTTTCTTTTTCTTTTTCTTTTTTTTTTTTTAATGTATTTAGTACAAGGTCTGCAGGGTCTCAGTACACAGCTTGGACATGTAGTGATCTTCCTGTTTTCAGCCTCCCAAGTGCTGGGATTACAGGCATCCACCACCACACCCAGTCCTAATTGTGGTCTCAGCAAGCCTCAGGGGCAGAGCTGGCACAGGGTTTGCTTTTTTTAAGTTTGTTAATGTTTTCTCTTTTTCTTCAGTGTTCTTATTTTCATATGAGTGAGAACTTTGTTCCTAGTCTTTTTGTTCTGTTCTTGTCTGTTTCTTCCTTCTTTCTTCCACTCCTCTCTTCTTCACCAGTTCCCAAAGCTTACATAATCTTTGTCTTCCAGTCTTGCTCTCAATCCATTTTTCTAATTTCTCCATTTATTTCCCCTAAACCCTTTTAAATTTTCTCCCTTGTGAGTAAAATCACCATATCAAATGGATATTTACTGTACACAATTTACTGATTTGTTTTAGATTTGGCTTTATAACTACAAATCATGTTAATATGGTTAAAGATGACAAATTAACAGTTACTCAGTTTGTCATTTTCTAGAATGTGTTGATGCTATTGTTATTACTGATTGGACTGCAGCACCATGAACTCCAACAAAATGAATCCACCAGGCAAGGCAAGTACTTAAGCAGAAGTGAAAGAACCAACAACAGGAGAATAACATGACGAAGATATGTCAATACATGTCAAGGTGACCATCAATGCAAATGGTCTCAATTCATTAATCAAAAGAAACTGACTGGCAAAACAGACCAATAAGCAAGGTCGAACAATATGCTGCATAAAAAAAACACATTTAACTCAAAAATAGACTGAAAGTCAGAAGATGAGAAATAATACTCTATGCATCAGGAACCCTGAAAAGAAACAAAGAAGCATCCAGCCAAACAAAACTGAGGCCAATCTCCCTAATAAATGCAAAACTCCTCAGTAAGATACCAGGAACAAAATGAAGCAAATTATGTAGAACATTATGCACCATGGCCAAATAGGATTCTTCACAGGGATACAAGGATGGTTCAACACGTGTTAAGCAATAAATGTAACACATCATATTAACAGAGCCTGACAAAAATCACACAATCATTTTAATAGATGCAGAAAAATCATTTGACAAAGTCAAAAATCCATTCATGATAAAACCTTCACAGAAAATTAGAGTAGATGGTCTTCATCTCAATCCAATAAAAGCCATGTATAACAAATCAATAGCAAACGCCATACTAAATAGTTAAAAACTGAAAGCTTTCATTCTAAAATCAGGAACAAGACTAGAATGTACACTCTCACTATTCCTATTCAAGATAGTTTTAGAAACATTAGCCAGAGTAATTAGACAAAAGAAGTCAATAAAAAGAATAAGGATAGGAAAGAAGAATTAAATCATTATTATTTGTGGATGACAAGATGCTCTACATAGAAGACCCCACAAAATTCCACCAAGAGACTTCTAGAATTAGTAAGAAAATTCAGTAGCATAGCTGGATACAACGTCAACATTCCAGAATCAGTAGCATTCTTGTACACAAATAATAAATATCTGGATGCAAAATCAACACTTAAAAATCAATAGCACTCTTGTACACAAATAACAAATAATTTCTCCTTTAGAGAAATTACGAAAACACCTTTCACAATATCATCCAAAGAATGAAATATTCAGGAATCAATCTAATGAAGTAAAAGACCTTTACAATGACCTTGATACTTCTCTGATACAGGAGATTAAAGAGGATATTGCTTTCCAGATTTGACTGAAAAGGAGTCGCCATCATGGGAGATGGCATCCATCCCAACAAGGACTGAAAGGTCCGGTACAAGGA